AAAAAAAACAGTCTCATTACTTATTGATCAGACCTCGTAACCGGGAATTCGAATAAACCGAATGGAGTAGTTACGGCGGTCTTTGGTAGGTCGAATTGGGCAATGGGTACCTGATGGTATGCTTTCACTAGGTCCAGCTTGGAAAAGAGCGTTCGTCCGGCCAAGTGTGCGGTGAAATCGTGCAAATATGGCAACGATCGGCACGAATAACGCCATTCAGTCGACGGTAATCACCACACGGACGGTATGAGCCGTCTTTCTTGGATACGAGCAATAATCGGCTGGCCCATGCGCTTGAAGATGGACGACAAATTCCTTTGGCCAACAAATAGTTGAATTCCCGACGAGCGGCCTGGTGCCGTTCCGGCAGCAGACGTCGAGGGCGTGCGAATAACGGCAGACCGATGATATGCAACTCATGGACGACATTGTGGCAACAATTACAATCATCTTCCTATGGAGAATATATTCATTGATAGAAAATATTTTATCATTTATACTCGAAAAACCCGCAAAATATAAACTGAATATATTTTTGGAAACCGATTGTACACGAGTCTCCAGTATTGTATATAGAGGTGAGAACATGTTAGTGATAGAAGAAACAAACCAAGACGGTTGTCGTGCATTGCTTAACTGTGCAAATATAATTACTTTACAATACTTGAAATGGGCTATATTTGAGCTAATGGTACGCAAATCATCGTTCGTACGACCTACGGTAATGCAGCAGTTCGATAAGATGTATGATTATTTCAAAAACAATTTCGAAAAAGTTGAAAACGTTGAATAAATGGCGATAACAATCAAAAACCTACATGACGATTTGATTTCCTTTCATATCTCGAAAAGTTGGAATTTTGTAAGCCAACTAAAACTCTTCGCCACTACTCAGCTAACTGAACAATGTATTATGAAAATTGAACCTGAGGTAAATAAAAAACAAACATACCTATATTTTTCTTCATAATTATTATAAGTATTATTATTATTTTTAGGCATACAGTGGAGATCTTACAATCATAAGCCGGTTTCCACTTTTAATAACGATAGCGATAGACGGCAGATCCGTCGATCAAAACGATGGACCCTCATATTTCGATCAACAATCACATCTCTTCCATATCTCTCCCAAGATATTCACCGATGTCTTCACCGAGCTACTCGCTAATATCACCACCGATATCTCCACATCCCTCACGTAAAAGGGATAGATGACATCATCGAAGTAATATTTTATTAATTATTTAAAACGTAGACTATTTGTAAATTCTAGACATTCACACAATTCTCTAAATCTTTATAATTAGTTATTGGAATGTAAAATAAAAACAAATAATATGAAAAAATAAGAGGTTTTATTTATTGAAAAAATACATTTTAAAAATATAATACATGTTATTTACATAAAAAATTATAGTTTTCGAATTTCTCCACTGAACGGATTATAAGTTATAACTTGGTCGTGTAAAATTAGACAATAAACTCCAGTCTTGGTCGGTACTTTTATGGTGGTCTATTACTGCTATTGATATAAAATTCAAAAATAATGTTCGATAATAGACTTGATAGGGTTTCTTTCTCGTAGTACAATTTTTGGAAATCGGTAAACGCTTTGTATAATAAAGACACGGATTTCGTAGTAAAGTCTGCACGGAAATCTTCATACGGATACACATCGGAGTTTAGATAAACTTTGATATTTTTCAGGTTACAGTGTTCGAACAACACCGAGGGATTATTTAAGTTATTTTTTCGTTCTGTTTGAAAAGCTATTATAGCGAATCGAGGTTTTTCGAGTAAATTTTACTGGATTTAACCGTCCACGAGTGTAATGTATTTTGAGGTAATACAGGATATTCGCATAAATCCCAAGTTCTCAACGCCGGGAATTAGACTAACTTGAATGTGTGGCTCTAAGAGGAACCTCCTAGAGGGGATTCAGGGTTGCCAACAGCCCTAATTTAAAAGTATCAAGAAACGATATTCATTTGTAAACTATTAAAACCCATTGAAACCCAGTAAAACCCAATCGAGTTAGGTTAGGTTTGTTTAAAAAAAACGTGGGTTTTTTAACATTTTCTGGTAGGTCCTTCCAAATTTGGCTATTAAACTAAAATTTTGTACACCTGTTATAATATATGTTATTTATCATAACAATTCAAATGTACTTTCCCGCAATCAGATGAAATAAAAAAAAAACTAACGATAGGTACACATACTATACTATACACATATCCGATTATGTCATTGATACCATTAAAATTGAGGATGATCTTGACAAACTAACAGACACCGAGCTTGAAGATAAGATTGTTCAGAAAACTATAGGTATGCTTTTTTATTTCTTTTACTTTTTTTTTTTTTTTTAATTGTTTTATACATTTAAAAATGCTTTGTTACTAATTTTTTTTTTTTAATTTGTTTCAGATACGAACATTCAGTCTCTTCTAATCAATCCAAACATCGAACTTGGCAAACTAACAGTCATCAGACTTATAAAAGAATATAAGAATATAAGATTGTCCAGGAAGTTACAGGTATGCTTTTTCTTTTTCTTACTTTTTTTTTTTTTTTTTTAGTAAATTATTTTATACATTTAATAATATATTGTTATTAAATTGTTCTTTTTAAATATATTTCAAATACGAATATTCAGTCAATCCAAAAATACGTAAGATGAGAAAAGTGGCTCGTGCAAATTTGGAGACACAAGCATCTCGCATAGTGATTCGATCGGACAGTTCCGACAGTCGATGTTGGTGCTAACGTTGTAATTTGTATTCCAGATGTTAACAAAAGCAAAACATAATATCTTCTTAACCCATTAACGCCGTGCGTTGCCATATGGCAACATAGGTAGACCTATTTTTAGAAGCTAATTTCTCATTGAGAATTTGACAAATTGCTGTGGAAATAACATTAAGTAATAGGTTATTATTTCAAGATAAGATAGGGACAAAATCGATTCCGTTTATTATTATAATTTTGGTTATATCGTTGTTTGAATTTGTGCATTGACGTCGTTCTACGAAAAATGGATCTTTCTTTCGAGTAAGTAAATTTTGGTATTATTTTATTGTATATTTTTAATTTTTTTTTATGTAAGACGCATTAAGTATAATATTATCTTTATAACAACGTCGAATAAAAAAAAAAAAATCAAACATTCACGTATTTATATAAGTTCGAAGTTCGATGTTGCCATTTGGCAACGCTAGGCGTTTATAGGATTTTTTTAATAGAATTTTTATTTTTTCGATTAGAAACGGGTTTTCGCTCTCTGAAGCCTTAGATATTCTTTTAAATGAAGATATAGAGGGAGATATTTTTATTGAACCTCCAAATCCTCATGTTGATACGGATGTAGATTCTGCAGATGAAGATGGGAGTGGGTAAGTCCCTTATTTATTTCAGTTTTATTCATAATACCATCTTTATAAAATTAACATTTTTTCCTAACTGTAGTTTGGTTGACAATCTCAGTTCTCGGCAATTATTAGCAAATGCTGAAATACGGTTTCAAAATAATGAACGTTTAGGCGTTAATTATGAAGATTTAGACACTCAACATAACAATTCTCAAGTTCATACTCCGTGAAACTTCTTCAATCGTAGGACCTAATCAGTTATCTGATAAATATCAAAAAATGGATGAGCACTCGTATACAATCCAAACGTAAACCATGTTGGATAAAAGGGGCCGACTTTGATCTTGAAAAGACGAGTGTATTTCCTAAACCTGACTACTCACAATATCAAAATATGTCAATTATCGACATTTTTTGAAATGTTTATTGACGATGAAATAATACAACATTTTGTAATAGAAACCCGGAATTACGCATTGTTTTTAAATTTTCCCGATCCCAATATTACTGCCAACGAAATTCGTTGTTTTTTGGCAATTTTGTTTGTAAGTGGCTATAATGATTTGCCATCTAAACTTCATTATTGGGATAATGGTGATGACATGAAAAATATTGCTGTATCCCAATCAATGCGTAGGGACAGGTTTTTGCAAATTTGTCGTTTCTTTCATTGTACTAATAATACAGAAATTGACCAGAATGACAAGGGATGGAAAATTCGTCCTTTTATAGAAATTATGAAAAAACGATGTATTAAAAATTTTGTACCAGAAGAGCACTTGGCATACGATGAAAGTATGGTGAAATATTTTGGACGGCATAGCTGTAAGCAATTTATTAGGGGAAAACCAATACGGTTTGGGTATAAAATATGGTGTCTGAACTCAAAGAATGGTTATTTATTGAATTTTGATCTTTATCAAGGCAAAAATCTCAAATCGAATTCTGATTATGAAAAATTATTTGGAAAGGCTGCTAGTCCACTCTTGGTATTATTAGATGAGATTCCGGACGATAAAAGAGAATTAAACTATAATATTTATATGGACAATTTATTTTCAAGTCCTACTTTATTTTCATTTTTTGAGATTTCGTGGATATAGCGCCATCGGTACAATACGTGATAATAGGATTCCAAAAAATTGCCCATTGACAAACAAAACATTATTTAAAAAAAAAAATCGTGGATATTTTGAGACTGCTGTGGAGAGGAAAGACGGACTATTGTACCTACGTTGGATGGACAATGCCGTCGTTACAATGATTTCATCGTCATGTGGTTCTCAAAATGTTGGCCAAGTACAACGATTTTCACAAAAAGAAAAAACGAAATGTATTAGTCCCAAGACCAAGACTTATTGCAAAATACAATACGTATATGGGTGGTACAGATCAAATGGACCAGAATATCGCATGTTACC